GGGGTTTTCTACGGAGCCGGATAATACTTCACGTACCTCATGTAAGTAACTCTTTGTGTTGTTAAAAGTGAGATTTTACCCTAATTAACGTCTTTGTGCTGCACAATCGCTCTGTCGAAGAGCGCCAATTTCGAATGTGCTCTAACGTTAACGTTACCTCAAACAGTTTGTTAACTTGAGCCACATAAATTACTGTATTAATCTAACGTTACGTGTGTGTGCGCGTTGTATAAGTAATGTTGACTTTGTGTGATAGTTTAATGTTTCAGAGGTGTTTGTAACTTCTTCAAAAACATTGAGTCCGCTGCCAACGCTGTCGAAGCTACGACAGACACACGTAGCCACAGCTAACGTTAGCTAAGTTAAGTGATTACTGATTATCGTCGGTTGGAGATGAATGTTAATGTGCCAGTGCAGCAGTTACTTTGGCGAGTACACAATCCACACAATCTAACCAAAACCACATTGATGAGGGAGCAAACATTTGCAACTATGAGTGTGGGCACTGTTAGCTAATGTGGATTAGCACATAGCCTGAAATACACCCACACCGCCCGCGGTTAACACACCTCAACGGTGGTGCTCAAGGTGCAGGCCCATTTCTCCTCATCCAGCGTGCTTTACACGTGTTTGTCTTAACAGGAAAACTTTGTATTTGACTGTGGCACATTCACACATCTCACACCAACACACTTTGCAGTCATTCCAGTTGTTCCACTAATATTTTGGCAAGAGAGGTTACAAGTATTTTAGGCTATCTAACCTAACAATTAGTCAATTGTGATGGTTAGACATGAGGTTGACATGATGTTTCAGATTATTTTATTTCTAAAATAAATTCTGTGATGAACTAAAGTTACCCATTCTTGTCTTGTCCAGCAGAATAATCTTCATTTGTATTTTAAGTGTATTTTTTTATGGATTTTATCAGGCTTGTATTCAAAAGGCTAGATGTAACTAACTTTATTTATTTTTATTGACAGATGGGATGGCCCTGTAAATTGTGCAACACTGTGGTACCAGGAAAGAGTGACATTTTAAAGCATTATAGACTGCATCATGGGACTTTTGGACACAGCCATGCCTTGCCTTGTATTCATATAGATTGCCCATGTTCTTTTAAATCCTGGAGTTCCTTCCGCTCTCACCTCTCAAGATACCACCCAGAAGCTAAATCCTTCATCTCACCACAAGTAAGTCTTTCATTTACCTGCCCTTTGTGTCAAAACCCTGGATTTAACAACGAAAAGGATTTTTTTGAGCATATAGGTCACCATCTCAAGAATAACGAGACTGTTAAGTGTGTCTTCATAGAATGTGATCACCAAACAAATGTGTATGGGACGTTTGCAACACACAAACACAGAAAGCATACTCCACATACATCACAAGATTTCAAACCAGGGATTATTTGTGGGTTACCCGAGGAAGCACTTGATTTTGAAGCCTCTGAAGAGGATGAGGTCCACAATGATGCTAATCATGAAGGCAGTAGCACTAATGCACACTATGAAGAGGAAGATGGAAGCAGTGTAGTTGTAGAGTATATAGCATCCCTCTTGTTGAAATTAGAGAGTGTTCATAATGTTTCAGTTCGGTGCATTGATGAATTGGTTGATGATCTTCACTTCATAGCAAATTCTGCATGCATATCTTCAGTTAAAAGTATCATTGTTTCACATTTTAAGAAAAATAACCAAACCATTGATGACACTGTTGTTACATCTTTGGTGGAAGAATTGTGCAATTCCAATCCCCTAAGCTCAGCACTTAGTAGTGCTGGTCCTCTATCCTCATCGTTCAAGAGACGGAAGTATTATACAGAAAAATTTGAAGTTGTTGAGCCTGTTGAGTATGTCCTTGAACCAAATGAGAAGAGAAGTTTCCAGTATATTCCAATTCTTAAGTCTTTGATTAATATTTTGGGTAAAGAAGATCTTCGAGAAAAAGTTCTGAGTAAAGAAAAGGACAAGCCATCTACTAAATATGAATCATATCAAGACGGTACAATCTATAAAGATAATTCTTTTTATTCTGAAGAACTAAGAATTACACTTGTACTGTACATTGATGACTTCGAAATTTGCAATCCACTGGGAACTTCAAGAAAGAAGCACAAGATTACAGCTGTATACTGGGTGTTTGGCAACATTCCACACTCATCTCGGTCAACTCTGAGCTCTGTGTACTTGGCCCTTTTATGTAAAGCAGTGGACATCAAAAGATTTGGTTATGAGGAAGTGCTTGCCCCTTTGTTAAAAGACATTGCTATCTTGGAGCGTGACGGCATCTACATTTCCTCAGTAGGACAAAATGTGAAAGGAAGTGTGTTTTGCGTTGCAGCAGACAATCTTGGGGCACATTCAATTTGTGGATTAGTGGAAAACTTTTCTGGTCCATTCATTTGCAGATTTTGTCTTGGACAGCGATCAGAATATCAGATAAAGGAGGTGAGGTCTGGTGCCTTTCCGGCTCGCACCCAAGAAGCACATGCAACTCATGTATTGACTGTCAAAGAAAACCCTGCCTTGACACATTGTTTCGGTGTTAAAAAGGCTTGTCCATTGACTGAAAATCTGAGCTATTTCCACTGTGTCACTGGCTATCCACCTGACATATTACATGACGTTTTTGAAGGGATTGTTCCCTTAGAACTGGGTCTGTGCTTCAGTGTTTTTATTTCTAAGAAATATTTCACATTTAGTGAACTTAACAGTGCTATTTCACAGTTTCCATATAAGTGGTCTGACAAAACTAACTCTCCTCAGCCAGTGCCTGCTACCTTCTCCTCAAGAAACAAGATTGGAGGAAACGCGCATGAAAATTGGTCCCTCATACGACTGTTGCCATTCATTATTGGACACAAAATACCTTTGAGTGATCCAGCCTGGCTTCTGTTGATGTCTTTAAAAGACATTGTTGAGCTTGTTGTGGGTCCAGTCCATAATGAGGAAAGCATTGCATATCTTGACTCAAAAATTTCTGAACACCGACACAGATTCCAGGAAGTGTTCCCTAATGAAGAATTAATCCCGAAGCACCACTTTTTAGAGCACTATCCTGCTTTGATAAAAGCTTTTGGACCAGTTATAGCTTTCTGGACGATGCGGTTCGAAGCAAAACACAGCCAGTTTAAACGGATTGTAAGGCATACTGGCAACTTCAAGAACATTCTCCTGTCCCTGGCTACAAAGCACCAGCTTATGATAAGCCACAACCTGCATTCCACAACAGTTTTGCCTGCTCTTAGTGTTGTAAGAGTAACATCAGTTCCAGTGGATGTCCTACATGTAAATGTTCAGGAGTCAATCAGGCATATATCTCCTTCTCAGTCTCATGTTCAGCTGGCTGACACAGTCACCTATCAGGGATCGAGGTACTCAAAAGGCATGATTGTGGCCTTTGGTTCTACTGCAGGTCTTCCTGATTTTGCAGTGATTCTTCAAATTGCACTTATCGAGGAAAGAGTGTATTTTATTGTGAGAACACAGATATCCTGGTTTGATGAACATTATCGCGGATATTATCTGGAGAAGACAGACCACATAACTCTCGTTGAGCAACGATGCCTTACTGATGTATATCCTCTGTCTGCCTATATTGTTGCAGGAAAGCAAATGGTGATATTGAAGCGCCACATCTGTCTCCAACATAACTCTTCTTAGAAATGGAGCAAACTGTGAGATTCCGGGTCCTCATCGATCATGAAATCAAGAAACTCACTCTCAGCAGTGGCATGCCCTCAACTGTGAATGAGTTGGTTGCAGCTGTCAAAGAACATTTTTCCATCCCCACAGATATAAGTCTTCAATACAAAGATGAGGAATTTGATGACTTCTTCACCCTAACATCTACCAATGAGCTGAAAGATAAGTGCACACTTAAAGTTGTGTATACACCGCTGGAGTTGACGCTGACCGTTGTTCCCCAGGAAAGCACCCCAGATGCCTCTGATGTCAGCTCTCTCTGTGAGTGTACGAGTCTCAGTGGGAACTCAGTGGATACGTCATTCCGAGTCCATCCCCCTCTGAAAGGCAGAGCCCATGGCCTGCTGTGTTTCCAATTCCAACCTTCTCACACAACACTGAACTGGCCTTAAGACAAGGAAACGAGATTTATTTAAGAGATGGCACCCCTATGACATCACCAAGTATCAAATCAGACATCCTGGAGCGCCTGGCAGAGGCCATGTTTTTCTACACAGCTTACCCCAATGATGCCCAGAGATGTGCAGTGGCAGAGGCACTAGTTGCAAAGCATCCCTGCTTAAAGGAGCCCGGATCTTTTAATGGAATTTATGGGTGGCAGGTAAGCCTAAAGTATAAGTGTGGAAACTACCGGACAAAACGGAAAGCACTTGGAAGCACTGAACTCCTGATAAACTCACTGAGAAACAAGTCAAGTGATGAGCGAAAAGCCGCTAAAAATGTCAAGAAACCAAAGAGGGCAGAGGTGAATTACTTGCCCTCACACCCACATGGTGAAACAGATGACACCCTTGAGAATCTGAGACTTGACCTAATTGCTGCCCATCAGACAAAGGACTCTGTCAGGAGCACAAATGATATGATGGCCAGAACATACAGCTGGAGAAGACAGGAAGTTATTACCAAGTCTCCTGGTGTGGCAGAATTCAAGGAAAGATGGCCTGCCCTCTTCGAACCATTCCAGGTAAGTGACTTATCATTCAGTTTTTGCTGACACTACTCACTTCTGAGAACTTTTTAGAAATTGTGACTTGGACATGAGATAGTAGATTAATCTTTAAACCCCCTTAAATAAGTCAAACATTTGCTGTCTTACAGGTAAACGAGGAGTTCCGAAGATGTACTGCAGTTTCCCTGGAAGCGACGTTTATGTCACAGCTGGACAAATACACCCCAAAGCTCCTAGAACTCTTTAGTGCCAAGGGAGGAGCAACTGGTCAACGCATCAAAAAGTTGTTGATGGATCTGATACAGGTAGGGAAAAATTGGTTACAAAGTTAAGGTACGATATTAATCAATTGAGTGGTTTTGTTTTTCAGTTTTTTCAGCATCTTGCTTATCTGGGTGGTTTTTCTTTTGTTTTGTTTTTTTGTTAATTAGCCAGTTTTTTTCTAAATTGTCTCGTGTTATTACTATTAATATATTATAATGAATAAAAAAGAAAAAATAATACAGACCTACAGTAATTACAGGGTTGGAGTGAATTTACCAACAAAAATAATTTATTCATTATTGTTCTATTAACTAGGACCCAAGTGCCACTACAGTGAAGAAGAGAGATGTCACTCTGAGATGCCTCTTTGAGTATATGGGAGAGAGTGGACAGGAGCTTATCTCAGATTACTGTGTAAGTATTGTCTCAAAGCAGGTTTGGGTCAGTCTGGTGAACATGTTTAAATTGTGCGGACTGTTAAAGGATAACTCTTGCCAAATTGCAACCTAGGCTATTTTTGCTAATCTACCAGAGTCATACTTTCTTGTAAAAGCATAATTAGAATGGAAATGCCACTTTTAAGATTGACCGTATTTTCGTTTTCAGGTCAAAATGCCTTTTGAATGGGTGTGCTAGGGGCACTACAATGATTGCATCAAAATCGCTAGTTTTAAAACACTAAAGCGGCTCTACACATGAACTTGAGCATTGACAACATTGTTTGTGTACACACAGTTTACTAAAAAGAAATGTTTTGTGCGACTCACATTATCAGTTAGTGTTTACGGTGGCTAGAATTTTGACAGTCAAAAGTATTCGATCTCCGAATGTAATGAACTACATATGAGGAAATGTCATGAACTTGTAATTCCAATAAAAAGCATGATAACTTAGCTCATGGCAATTTATATGGAAACAAACTTTAGGAGCTTTCCATCTTTACTCTCCTCATGTTGCATTGCATTTGGAGATTGACAAAATTCCAGCTACCAGAAACACAAACATGTATGTATGTATGTATGATCTACAGGGTATTGCACCAATGTTGTCTTAACCTAGAAGTGTGTCTATAACAGCTTTTCAGGGGATTAACTAGCGCTTAAATAATATGAATCACTGACTTGTCCAGGCGACACATAAAACTAAACATCAGTTGTGAGTTCCTCACAGGTTGGCACTCTAGTAGACACAAACAAATGACTGGCCCTATGTCACCTAGGCACACGAAACAGCAGCCGCCACTGATAAAGTGAGTCGTACAAAACCTTTCTATAAGGCGCACTTAAAAGCCTTTAATTTTCTAATCCGGAGCGCCTTACATATGAATCAATTGGTTAATAACGCTCTGCGTTATTAAATTCGCCCGTGAACTCGCGCTCGTGTCCATCTTATGCCCGCTCTGTCACACGGCCAGTTCAACCTCGTATAAATCATGTTATGTGTGTAAGTCACGTGCCCGCTCACGACCGCTCACTCTTACTAACAGACACACAGACACACTGTCCCCCGCGCTGCTCGCGCGTCACAGAATGTTCATAAAGCGCTCCCTGTTCACAGTAACCGGGTCGTCTCATTCAAACAGCCTGCTGTTGCTGTCAGCGAGCCGCCGCACATGAATACTCATGAGTCAGGCTGCGAATGCAAGTTACGTGCCCGCCCCAGCGCGCTCACGCTTACTAAAACGCCTCACCTCCGGCGCCGCGCATTCGCTACATTCCCTTTGGCACATCTAGTGGATGCATAACGCAAACCCAGTCAAACGTTTGACTGCAGTATCTTATGCGCCTTATAATCCGGTGCGCCCTATATATGAAAAATGTTCTAAAATAGGTCATTCATTGAAGGTGCGTCTTATAGTGCGGAAAATACGGTACACAATGTTGTCAATGCTCGAGTCCATGTGTAGAGCCCCTGGTGACACTTCAAGTACAGTTTCATGTTGTGTTGAGCCTTCTTAGTGTTTTAAAAATAGTGATTTTTATGCCATCATTGTAGTGCCCCTAGCACTCCCATTCAAAAGGCATTTCGACTTCATATGAAAAAAGTCTATCTTGAGAGTGGCATTTCCATTCTAATTATGCTTTTACAAGAAAGAATGACTCTGGTAGATTAACAAAAATAGCCTAGGTTAAATTTTGGCAAGCGTTTCCCTTTAATGTGAACTGAATGAACCAGCATTTGGCAGGTAGTGGATTATTTATGCATTTATTTATTTTTCTTAATAAATGAGATTGTTTGTCTTAAATACTTTATCTTGTATCTCAAAAGGGGGCCGCAGAGACCATTGTTCATGAGGACCTGAAAATTAAGAACATGAGCATCTATGTCTGCCGTGAGCCAGATGCAGTAGGAATCATCATTGAGGGAATACCAGTCCTTACCAATCTTGGAAACCTGGCCAAAGCATGCTGCTTCCTGCTTGGGTTGACATATGCACTTAATCTTGAGTATCCATCCAAGCTTTCCAAAACATTTGAGGTGTTTCAAAGACTTTTCGTGGGACTTGAGACACTGCGCCCAAAACCAAGCCCCAAGTTCATGACCCTGAAAAACAAACTCCTTGCCTAGGCACTCAGACATGACTGTCACTGCACTTGTGAACAGCTGTTTTCTTTGTCTGTTCAACATCATTATACATTGGACATAATGGGTGTTATGTCCAATGTTATATTGGACATAATTGGACATTCAGGTTGTTGTAATGGTTTATCCTTGTCATGTTTTATACTGTACACAGGTCATACTTCCTGGTGTGAAAAAGTAATTATATTTTATACACACAAAATAGACCTGCTGTGAAGCTGCACTTTAAAAACTGGTCAGTAGGTGAGATCAGTGAGATGTTTCAAAATATTCACACACGCTGTGAAGGTATTATGCCAAGTTGAGGTCAGATGGTCATGCTTGTGACCTGTAATGTTAGTGTTATAATGTTTCAATATTATGTTCACACTGTACTGTTAAAAGGATAGTTCACTTCAAAATGAAAATTCTGTCATCATTTACTCACCCTCAAGTTGTTTTAAACCTGTATGAATTTCTTTCCTCTACAGGACACAAGGAAGATGTCTGAAGAATGTTAGTAACCGAACAGTTAACTGGACCCATTGACTTCCATATTAGAAAAAAATAAAAAGACTATGGAAGAACATTCTTCAAAATATCTTCCTTGTGTTCAGCAGAAGAAAGAAATTCATACAGGTTTAAAACAACTTGAGGGTGAGTAAATGATGACAGAATTTTCATTTTGAAGTGAACTATCGTTTTAAGGTGTTTTACTAACCTACTATTTACAAGCTGAGGTCATATTTTGTTTAATACATGAATACAGAAGTTCTTGATTGTTTATACTGTCCAGCTCATTCCCACTATTTGGATATGGCATGTGAATTGTTAAAAAAATAGCAAGTGCCAGTTAACTTGATATTAAAATGTTTTAATATTATGTATGTACACACAGTAAAATATACTGTGAAGGTGTTCTTCTAACCTGCACTTTATAAGTTGAGGTCATGCTTTTTTTAATGCATGAATAGATGTTATTGATTGTTAACACTATCCAGCTCATTTTGAATTTGGTTTGTAAATTGTTACTTAATTTTAAATTTTAATTTTAAATTTTTAAATTTTGTAACATTATGTACACAGAACTGTACTGTGAAGGTGTTCCACTAACCTGCACTTTATTTGCTGAGGGCATGTTTTCTTAAATGCCTGAATACCAATGTTTATACTGTCCAGCTCATTGCTACTGTTTTGGATATGGCAATGATTTAATAAATGTTGGAAATTGACATAGTAGCAACTATTTATTTGAAGCTATTTACACTTTCAAAACAAAGAGGGTCAATTGATCAAAATTAATAAATCAGAACATTATCTACTTATTTTTTTCATTTAAGTTACCTATTTTAATTAAGTTTAATGTGTATAAAATGATGATATTTTCTACATTGATAGTACTCAATTTATTGGCTTTTTCTGAAAATGCTACTTAATATTTTTGCATACATTGAAATTCACATTATTAAGTTGTCTTTACTCAAAATATCAGTTAGTTCACTAAACTTGAAAAAAATAGTTGGAAAATGTTGTCTTAATTTTATTGAGTTAGATCCAAGTAACAGTTTTAACAGTGTAGGGAGACAGGGTTGACTCAAAAATGACTTGAACTTGTTTAAGGTTTTTGTTGTAATGCTATAATCTATCAACATTAGCTATGAGTCCTGAAAGTCATGAGTCTTCCTTGCAAAGTTGCAGTTCCTAAAGTTGTTTGAATTGAATCATATCGAGTTTGCAGCTAATTAAAGTTAAGTTGTGATCCTGAGGTTGCAGTGCTCATCAGATGTCTTACTCTGTGTGTTATTTTACCAACAATAAGACAGACATGCTTCTGCTGAGAAGCTTCTGCTGGGGCTGGCAGGCAGTATACATACAGTAAACACATATATACACCTACACACACAGTTTCTGAGCCGAGTCTTAATTGTTCTAGGAGGACCCAAAGAGTTGGAGAGAAGCAAAATAGAGTGTACAGAGGATTGTTAGAAGAGTAGATTATAAGGTTGAGTTGAAATTTTCTGGAGCTGAACCTCAGTTAGAGGCATTTGGGTAAACTCTAACATCCTAGACAATCTCTCTCCCTCTTTCTCTCCTTCTCTCCCACTCTTTCTTTTCTCTATCTCTTTCTGAAGATGCCAAAGCCACAGGATTGCTGTTGGGATGGCCTGCCAGAAACCCAGTCTCTCGTTTTATTGAGGGACAAGACTTACAGAGTGAATGCTTACAATGCAGGCCTGACTTAATGGCAAAGAGAAGTGAGTGTAGAGAAAAGAAAGGAGAAGAGGACAAGGGATAGAAAGATGGAGAGTCAAAATGGGGAGTTATCAAATAGACACAGATCAATATAGAGAAAAACAGAGATTACTAGAACCACAGGATTTTCATAACCAACTCTTAACCACAAACTCACATGTCACATGTCTCCTTAAACTGTGCCAGCTGTCCAAATAGTCTGTTCTGGCAGCAAAACAGGTTCTCCACTGTACTACTACTTTGAACTCCCTGTTGTACCAACAATTCCCTTACTGGTCTTTGGCATTTTCAGACTTGGAATACCAAGGTTTCCCAAACCACACATTACTGAAGCATTCCTGTTCAAGGTTCTTCAGCCGTGGCCTTTTTGAGGGTCATTCATGCCATCATTTATGACATTGGAATTTAGCATATTTTTCTGTAAGGGAGTATTTCTGCAGACAGTTTTACAGGAACTAAGGCACACTCACTAAATCAAAGTCCCAATTTAAAGAAGCTACTGGTCAACAGAGTACTTTAATCAACCTACATCAGGCAGTGATTGATCCTTTGTCAAAAAGGCTGTCCTGTGGTCAGTGACCTGCAAACAGCTCACCTAGAGAAAATCCTGGAATGAAAAGTTTGTCTTTGTTTCCAATGTTTTATTTCTAAGCAAGTAGCTTCATAACTAATTAAAAACTGCCTGAATAAATCGGTTGAGAGACTGAACTTTGTATAATTAAATAACATCTCCCCGAACAGCAGAAAGGCCGTCAGTCTGGCTCAAGTAGCCAGGTTGGGAGGCAGCCGGAGAAACAGCGCCAGAACAAAGCTGCAGGTTCTGATGGTATCAGCCCCAGAATCCTGAAGGCCTGCGCAGACCAGCTATGTGGAATTTTACAACACCTCTTCAACCTCAGCCTAAGCCTGTGGAAGGTCCCATTCCTGTGGAAAACAACCTGCCTTGTTCCAAAAAAACATCATGAAAGTTAGAGGTGCTCCGATCAGGATTTTTGGGGTGCGATCACAGATTGCTGAAAGCAGTATCGGCCGATACCGATCACCGGGTCTATTCGGAGCCTTTTATTTATCATGTAGCGTTATACAGTATACTGTATATTGATTTCATTGGTCCTAAAAACAATGTATTAAGTGTTAAAGTTAACAGCTGATAAAGTATCATGAAATGACAACTGTTCATTTTATAGCCAGGAAACATGGGCAACAAATTCCGCTCAATCTGTGTTAGAGACTTAAACCATAGCAGCCTTTGCCTGGTTACTGTGAACATCTTATAGCTTACCAAATATAGCTTTACTGTGGAATAAACTACAAAAACTGAACAAACAGCATCTTTATAAATTTACTACAACCATAAAAACTGCAACAAAAAAGGCTGTAGCCAAAATATTTAGGAGATAAAGGAGCACAGGCATCATGAGTCGATGATAAACTCTGAAGTAGCTGCTTTTTGGTCTGGAAAGCTCAGGCAGGTTCTATGGGCTACAGAGAGGAGTCAAAACTGCCTTCAGTGAGATTTGAAAATAAGGAAAATTTAAATAAATAAAATAGGCTACAATGTAAATTCCATATTATACAGTCAATTGTTAATATTACATAGGCTACTATATTCATTATAATTTCATATGGTTTGCCATTAGTAGGCTATAGGCCTTATATTATTTCAGTGGATTGTTTTTATTTTATTTTTTATCCTTGTGCAAGAAGCACAGTCTACATATTTTACATGCTGCCACCGACTTTACCAGACAGAGAGTGGCAAACAAGGTTTTTATTTGATTTTATAAAGGTTAAAAATACGGGAGATTTCCGGGGAAACATTTAATGGGTGGATACCGCGTGAGAACGGAAAAATACGGGAGAATCTCGGGGAAAACGGTAGGGTTGGCATGAGAGGAGTAGAGAGAGGAGTGGGGTAATGTGAGGCTACATCCACACTGCTACGTTTTTAAAACAGATTTATAACGAAAACAATCTTCTCCGTCCACAGCAGCGTTTCAGCTTCGTATCAGAGTTGATCTCTGTCCATATTAGAACGACTGAAAACACACATCTAGTGGCTGTTCAGGAAGCCTACACTGGGCATGCGCGTGCCAGTGTAAACATGAAGCAGATGGTCTTCTCTGCAGTAGCAGACGATTTAGTGAAAGAAGAAAGTAATACAGACAAAGAACCACACCATGCTTTTTTCTTTTTTTTTCACTGAAAGTAACGGAAAACAGACTGGGAGTTGTCACAAAGTAAATACAGCGACATGCACAGTAGACTAGGCTAACTGTTCAGTGTTATTTACACAGTACTTACTGTATATTTTAATAAAATACCAAAACTAAAACTCACAAAGCCAAATGTGAGTGTGTGTCATCGTTTTATAAAGTCCTCTGTTTTGTCCATCGGGTCAGCAGCGTTTTCTTCTGATTCACCGTTTTAAATTGGACGGGAGGTGGAAACGTAGGAAAAGGTCTCCGTTTTTGTAACAAAACAGAGAGAGAGATGCAGTCAGCTGATTGAGTGGCACCGCTCTTTGCATCAGGAAACTCACACTGAAGGATCAGTCTCTCTCTGCCTGATGCGCTGTGTCTATTAAACTCCGGTTGCGGGTGGTGTGTGAGTGAGATGAGCACAGCTGCGACAGTTTCACATGATGGCTCCTGCGTGCTGCTGCACTTGTCTGAATTCTGCTCAACTCTATTTGTAAATGACTATGTGTGCGCGTTAATCCCTTGTCTGAGAAGGACTTTGGTGCTAGCTAGCTTTGAAAACCGCTTACACAGCGTAGTGAAACATTTTAGCTGCCGGTGAAAATTTGTCTGGCGAGTATTGCATCATCTGATCGGCTTTTCTTATCGGCCTTTTTAGCGACCACCGATCAAACTAGTTAAAGCCATTATCGGCTGATTATGATCGGTGACCGATCGATCGGAGCACCCTTACTGAAATTTTTGGAGAGACTGGTTCTGGCCCATCTGAGACCTCAGGTGACCATTTTCACTGACCCACTGCAGTTTGCCTACTGCCCTGAGGTTGGTGTGGAGGATTCTATCATCTACCTGCTTCAGCTCACTCACTCACACCTGGATAGAGCTGGCAGCCTTGAGAGAATCATGTTCTTTGATTTCTCCAGTGCTTTTAACACAATGCAGCCTATACTGCTGCGGTAGAAGCTCCAGAAGATGCAGGCGGACACCAACTTCCTGGATTGGTGACTACCTGACAGACAGACTACAGTTTGTGCGGGATAGCATGTCTGAACAGGTGGTCAGCAGCACAGGAGCACCACAGAAGACTGCACTCTCACCATTTCTCTTCGCGCTGTACACCTCAGACTTCCAGCACAACTCAGAGTCCTGTCATTACAGAAATATCAGAGACTCGGATGATTCTGCAGTTGTTGGGTGTATCAGCGGTGGAGATCTTGTTGACCGCTTTGTGTTGTGGGGTGGGAGCAACCACATCCTCCTAAACGTGGCCAAGATGAAGGAGATAGTGGTGGAGGTCCACGACAACACTGAACACCATTCACCCTCTGGGAGAGGAAATGGAGTTGGTGGAGAATTACAAATACCTGGGTGTACACCTTGACAACAGACTAGACTGGAAATACAACAATGAGGCCGTCTTCAAGAAGGGCCAGAGCAGACTCTACTTCTTGAGGAAGCTTAGGTCCCTTAATGTATGAAGGAAGATGTTGTATATGTTGTATATATATCAGTCTGTTGTCGAAAGTGCAATTTTCTTTGCAACCATCTGCTGCAGCAGCAGCATCACAGCCAGTGACAGCAAGACTGAACGAGCTAATTAAGAAGGCTGGCTCTGTGCTGGGGTCTGTTCCTGGAGTTGGTTGTGGAGAGAAGAATGTTCCACAAACTGTTTAACATCATGGACAACAGCAGTTGAGCGTATTCAGTACTCAAGAGATGTGATATACTGATAGGCGGTTATCTGGTATTGTTTTAAAGGCAGGCAGGGTTGGAACCAG